ATAGCAAAAAGATGGAAACAAACTAGGTGCCCATCAGCAGACAAATGGATAAACAAATTTTGGTATATTCACACAATGGAATGCTACGCAGCAATAAAGGACAACGATGAATCCGCAAAACATAACATGGATGAATCTGGAAGGCATTATGCTGAATGAAATTAGTCAGTTGCAAAAAGACAAATATTGTATAAGACCACTATTAGAAGAACTCAAGAGAAGGTTTAAACACAGAAGAAAACATTCTTTGATGGTTATGAGGGTGGGGAAGGAGGGAGAGGGGTATTCACTAACTAGATAGTAGGCAAGAATTAGGTGAAGGGAAGGACAACACACAATATAGGGGAAGTCAGCACAACTGGACTAAACCAAAAGCTAAGAAGTTTCCTGAACACAACCAGACACTTCTTCAAGGGTCAGTGTAGCAGGGGCAGGGGTCTGGGGGCCATGGTTTCAGGGGACATCTAGGTCAATTGGCATAACAAAGTTTATTAAGAAAATATTCTGCATCCCACTCTGGTGAGTGGTGTCTGGGGTCTTAAAAGCTTGTGAGCGGCCATCTAAGATGCATCAGTTGGTCCCAACCCCCCTGGAGCAAAGGAGAATGAAGAACACCAAAGGCACAAGGAAAATACTAGCCCAAGAGACAAAAAGGGCCACATAAACCAGAGACTCCGTCAGCCTGAGACCAGAAGAACTAGATGGTGCCTGGCTACCACCAATGACTGCCCTGACAGGGAACACAACAGACAGTCCCTGACGGAGCAGGAGAAAAGTGGGGTACAGAACTCAAATTCTAGTAAAAAGACCAGACTTACTGGTCTGACTGAGACTGGAGGAACCCCAGAAGACATGGCCCCCAGAGTCTCTGTTCACCCAGAACTGAAACAATTCCCAAAGCCAACTCTTCAAACATTAGACTGGATTATAAGACATAAAATGATACTCGTGAAGAGTGTACTTCTTAGTTTAAGTAGATACACGAGACTAAATGGGCAGCTCCTGTCCAGAGGTGAGATGAAAAAGCAGAAAGGGATAGGAGGTGGTTGAATGGACACAGGAAGTCCGGGGTGGAAAGGAGGAGTGTGCTGTCACATTACAGAGATAGCAACTAGGGTCACATAACAATATGTGTATAATTTTTTGTATGAGAAGCTAACTTGAGCTGTAAACTTTCACCTGAAGCACAGTTTAAAAAAAAATTGGATGGTGATTCTTCTTCTTATTGAGTTGTAAGAATTCTTTATATAATTCTGAATACAAATCCTTTATCAGATATATGATTTGCAAATGGTTTCTCCCAGTCTGTGAGTTGTCTTCATTTTCTCAGTGGTGTCTTTTGAAGCCAAGAAGTTTCTTATTTTGATAAAGTCCAATTTATCAATTTTTTTTCTCTATGAACTGTGCTTTTGGTGATGTATCTAACAACTCTGACTCAGGTCATGAAAATTTTTTCGTGTTTTCTTCTAAAAGTTTTTTTCACTTTTAGTTCTGAAAGATTTTATTTGCTTATTTTATAATTTCTTAATGTTTTTTTAAAGCAACCTAAAGAAGTGTTTCTACTATTCCCAAACTATTATTAATTTTATCTTCTGTTTTTAGTCCTCTGGAACCCAGTTTTATAGTCCATCTTTCCAAAGGTAAATAGATGTCCAGTTTGTTGAACAGTTAGTTGGTCACAGAATAAGATAACTATTTCTTCCATGTCCCCAAAGTATGTCAAGAAAATCTCTTTGATATCAATCCTAAAAAGATATTTCCTTTTGGCTACTATGTCTGCAGTTAAAGTCACCTGACAGTAGATGGTACATAAGCTCTATAGCCTCTAGTCTGAACAACTCAAATTGCAATAAGCATATCCTCTTGCTTTACATTTTACCATCCATGAACCTCATGCTAAAGTCTTACTCTAGCTTTATTTTAATAGTCCTCAGGAGTTTTTACTGAACTAGTTTACGAAGAATTAAGAATTTTGTGACTGGCATCATCTTTTCTTTGAGGAGGCCTATGTAAACTGTACGGAGTAGTGGTGGGTCACTGGTAGAATTCTCATCTTCCTGGCAGGAGACCTGGGTTCGATTCCTAGCCATGCACCTCAAGTGCAGCCGCTACGTTTCTGTCACTGGAGGTTTGCATGTTGTTATGATGCTGAACAGGTTTCAGCAGAGCTTCCAGATTAAGACAGACTAGGAAGAAAAACCTGGTAGTCTCCTTCTGAAAAATCAATTGAAAACTCTATGGAACACAGTTCTACTCTGACACACATGGGGTCACCATGAGTCAGAATCGACTCAACCACAGTTGGTTAATCTAAATTGTAAGCTCCGTATAATCAAGGCTTATGTCCAATTCAAATTTATCTCCCTCACTGTTCCTGGTATAATGCGGAGTGGTTAGTAAGTGCTCAATCAGTATTTTTTTATTTTACCTATGTAATAAAGACAAAATATTTCATATTTAGATTTAATAATGACAGATAATGTGATTTGTATTCCACTGTTTTTCTAAATCATTGACTGAATAGCCACTAAATTCAAATTGTTCTCTCTGTCTGTCCTCAAATAGTTCTCAGCATAAGCACTTTGGCCTTGAGTTAATAATATTTGATGTTTCACGATAAATTAACTAACAAACATTTGAGATTATATCAGCATAGGAAACATTTTTTCTACCATGCCCTTTCTGTTTTAGGTATTCTATGTTAACCTTTCAGCCTCAAAAACCCTTTCAATAGCTCAGCCCCTTAAACCCTCCCCTCCCCCATGGAAATCTGCACCTTAATAAGAAAAGTAAAAAAAGATTTAGCGTGTCTTTTTTCTTTTCTTTTATTGTAAAAATATAGATAACACAATATAGCATGTCTTTTGGTGAGGGGAAAATAGAAATCGTATTAGTAGATCCATCCTCAAGCAGTGATATTATAGAACCTGTACTTCTGGGCCAGTGCAATTCTCCTCTATAAGGTCGATTCTAGCCTAGTTCTTATATTGGTTAGCATACTATCACATCCATGTAAGGAATGAGCCCTACCCTGTGCACACTCTAAGTCAAAAGAATGACCTCAAGTTGGGGAAAATTTATTTAATATAGGTCTTCCAGTTCACTGCTAAAAATTATTGAGCTTGGTACACAGGAGGTACTCCATAAATGCTTGAGTAAATACTTGGATACAGATGCACCACTTTCATAATTACTAAAAACTGGAAACAGCCCAAATAGCCATCAGCAGTAGAATGGATAAACAAATTATGATATATTCACACAATTAAATACTTAATAGCAATAAAAATGAATCAACTACAGATACATACAAAGACATGGACAAATTTTAGCGAGAAGCCATATATAACAATGCAAACTGCGTGATTCCATTTATAAAGTTCAAGAATAGAAAAATATACTGTTTCCATTTAAAGATGCATAAATAAGTAGTACTGCTATAAAGGAGCGCTGGTGGCACAGTGGTTAAGAGCTCAGCTGCTAACCAAAAGGTCAGCAGTTTGAATCTTACCAGCCACTCCTTGGATACCCTATGGGGCAGTTCTGCTCTGTCCTATAAGGTCACCAGGAGTCAGAATTGACTCAACGGCAGTGGGTTTGGTTTTTTGGTTTAATGCTGCAAAGACAACCAAGGAAATTAATTCCCTAAAAGTCAAGAAAAGGATTACTCCTGGGGGAGGGGAGCCTTATGACTGGAAAGGCGCATGTTGGGGAGGAGATTTCTGGGATGCTGATAATGATCTGTTTCTTGACCTGAATGGAGGTCCTGTTGGTGTTTCATTTACAACTCTTTGTTAAGTTGTACATTTATGTTTTGGGTTCCTTTCTATGTGGTCATTATATTCTACAATAGAAAGTTTTTTAAAATTCTGTAATTCTAAGGAAAAAATTAGAAAAGATCATGTGGCGTAATCATACATAACAGTTTAGTTGTCTGTCTGGTTGATGAAATGAGGATGATACCAGTGACCCAGCGTGGAGAGTACCAGGAAAGCACATGAGGCTTTAGATTGTCTGTATCAGTGTTTCGCTCTGACTGAGTTCCTCATGTGGGCTCCTGAGCCCTATAGTTTGTGGAAGTGGGAATAGGAAGAGGAGCAGCACTCAGTAGAAGCTAGTCACCATCTGCATTCCATTTAAGGACCTGATGCTCCATTAAAAGACATTAGCCTCAGTGTCTATGGACATTCCCCAGCATTCATCACTTCTTAAAAACCTCGTTCACGTCCATTACAGCATAATGTGTAAGAAGTGAAAAATAGGCAAATGGAGCAAATTGTTCTCCTACATAAAGGAACTTCTTGTAACGCCTATTTGTACAACTACTATCTCTTGAGCCATCATAGAAAATAGAATTAGAGATCTGCATGTCTTTGACCAGCTTTGAAAAGAAATTTCTTCGATCACAGAGTTTCATGAGATTGAAGTTAAATGACAGGTTGCTCCATTAGTAGCTGTGAGATAATTAACAGCTTCTCAGTGCTTGGGTTCTGCTAAATATTGAAACCCTTCCCCTGCATATCACTGACTTTGGTGATTCTTTAATTAGCTTAAGCCTCAAAAGGCTTAGCTGGCCTGTGAGCAGATTATTAAAATGGAAGTCCTGGCTCTGGCCTTACATGTTAAGATGTGTAACAGATCAAGTGGCTACAGCCAATTTAGACGTTGTCACAGTAGATATTGGGGCTAATTGGAGAGCACAATCAGAAATATTTTTATTAAAGATATCCAGCCTTCACTGTAAGCAACTTTATGTCAAGTTTTGCATTTGAGGGGGAAGCAATTAAGCCAGTTTGCCTTTCTCAGTTATGGTAAAATTCTAGTGTTTTTTTCCCCTACTGTGTACACATTTGACATTCCTTGACTAATTTATTCAGTCTTTGTTCTAAATATGAGCATAAATTTCTGATTTACAGACTTAAATAACTGCCTAGTTCCTTGTGTTTTGTGCTGCTTTTTGTTCATGTTCCTACTTCACCTTGCCATCTCTTCTCTTTCAGGGCCTGACATTTCAGGAAGTGGAAAACTTCTTTACTTTCCTAAAGAATATTAATGATGTGGACACTGCATTGAGCTTTTACCATATGGCTGGGGCATCTCTTGATAAAGGTAATAAAACCCAAAAGTTTTTTTTCTTGCAGGTATAAACATTGAATTGGTAATCTACTAGGTTATTGCACGTCCTTGAAGTAATGTGTCTTTTTCTTGACATTGTGTTTGGTTACATTGCATGAGGCTTGCATTTCACCCTAAGGAGTCAAGCTCAGCAAATATATTTTCTTGTGCTAAAGAGACTGGTCAAGGCAGATGCCCATCTTTAATTATCACGCTTGTAAACAGGAATCTAACCTGAGGCACAGTGCGTGAAACTGCAGCTTCTCTCATCTGAGCCAGAGTCACGATGTATATAATGTGAAGCTGAAGTCATTGTCCATTTTAATTCATGTCTTTGATTAAAAGGGATGGTTTGGTTTATTTCTTGTGTTAAAGAATTTTTTTTAAAAAAAAGATTAAATTATGACTCTGAGAATAGCACCCCCTGATGATCTACTTCATTTCCAGTTTCTACAGAGATCAGAGGAATGAAAAGCAGTTTGCCCCCCAGCATTTTATTCTGAAAATTTCCAAGCATTCAGAACGTTTGAAATAATTATTCAAAGAACACCCATATATATATCCAGTTCAATTTACATTTTGCTGTATTTGCTTGATCGTAGATCTATCCATATATTCATCCCTCTAACTACTCATCAATCTCTCTTGCCTTTTGATGCATTCAGAGTAAGTTGCAGACATAAGTACACTTCCCTCCTAAGCACTTCAGCATGAAAATTATTAACAGAAGCTCAGTATTTGTTTACAGTTCCCTCATGCTGCTTCGCAGTCAGTTCTGCCCCCACCCACCCAGAGGCAACCATTCTTCTGATTTTTTTCCATCACACATTATTTTTGCTTGTTCCAGAACTTCATTACAAATGGAGTTATACAGTGAGTACTGTTTCTGAGGTTTCTCTCAGCAAAGTGTTTTTGAGATCCATCCATGTTGTTGTACGTTCAGTGGTTTGTTTCTTTGTTTTTTGATGTGTAAGAGTCCATTGTATGAATACACCACAGTTTTTTTTGTTGTTTTGTGTTTTTAATCCATTCTTCTGTTGATGGACACCTTGGCTTTTTCCAGTTATTGGTTATCATGAACAAACCTGCTGTGAACCCTTTTGTGCAAGTCAGGAGATGGCAGGGGCTCTCTCCAGTACCTCTCAGGGAAGATTCTGGAAGCTTCTTGGAACAGTTATATACAGTTTGCCATTCTAATTTCCCTATTCTGCAAGTCTTCTTGACGGCATGCGTTTTCATTTATCTTGTATAAATACCTAGCAACGGAAATTCTAGGTACAAGGGAAGAGTATTTAGTTTATAAAACGTGTCAGACTCCTAATTCAAAATGGATCAAAGACCTAAATATAAAACCGAAAACAATAAAGGTCATAGAAGAAAAAATAGGGTCAACGCTAGAGGCCCTAATACATGGCATTAACAGGATACAAACCATACCTAACAACACACAAACAGCAGAAGATAAGCTAGGTAACTGGGATCTTCTAAAAATTAAACACTTACGCTCATCAAAAGATTTCACCAAAAGAGTGAAAATAGAACCTATGGACTGGGAAAAAAAATTTGCCTATGACAAATCCCACAAAGGCCTAATCTCTAAAATCTATAAGAAAATCCAACACCTCTACAACAAAAAGACAAATAATCCAATTAAAAAATGGGCATAGGATATGAAGAGACTCTTCACCAAAGAAGACATTCAAATGGCTAACAGATACATGAGGAAAGGCTTGCAATCACTAGCCATTAGAGAAATGCAGATCAGAACCACATGAGAGTGATCAAGAGCCTGGCTTCAGTCCAACAGACCCTAAAGTGGAAACCCAATCCCCTCATTTACTAACTGCAGGCCTCTGCCTTGTAACTTAACCTCTCTGACCCTCAGTTTCTTTGTTGGCAAAATGGAAATATTAACACAATGGACCTCCTTGTAAAGTTTAAATGAGATATTGTATGTAAAGCATTTAAGCAGAGATGTCTATCATATACTAGTGCTAGATTAATATTAGATGTTGCTATTGCCATGTCAGCTGGGCTATGGCTGATTTAAAAATGGTCAGATTGAATAGTAAGGGGGAAAAGTTTTAAACTTTGGAATTTTGAACAAAGTCATTTAATATATGTAAGCTATGGATCTGCTTGGTTATACGCTCATTTTATGTGAGAGAATCCTCTTTTGGAATTGGATACTGTTTTGTTTAACTGCAGTGATGACGATGATACGAAGTTTACAACTCTGCCAATATTCCTTTTGAAGAAACATGGGAAGAATTTTCAGTGTCACCCCCCTGGATACTTATTTTTCTACTTTTTGACTAGTTAAAAAACAAACAAAACTTTCAGACTCTTTTCCACACTATATCTTTTTATACTCCCACCAACAATGTACAACAGTTCAAGTTGCTCCACATCCTCATCAAAAATTGATGGTGTCAGTCTTTTTAAATTTAACCATTTTGGTGTGTGTATGTAAAGGTGATGCTATGTGTGGTTTAAACTGGTATTTCTCTGATGACTACTGCTACTGAGTAGCTTTTCATGTTCCTTGATTCAGCTATCTTCTTCAGTGAAATGTCTGTTCAAATCTTTTGCCCATTTTTTATTAGGTTGCCTGTCTTTTTTATTACTGAGTGTTAAGAGTTTTTGGTATATTCTAGTTACAAGCCCTTTATCAAATATACATTTTGCAAATACTTTCTTAGTCTGTGGTTTGCCTAGTCACTCTCTTAATGGTGTCTTTGATAAGCAGAAGTTTTTTTTTTTAATTTTTTGAAGTCTAATTTCCAAATTTTTGTTTTTGAGTTATTGCTTTCTGGATCCTATCTAATTAACTTGTATCTGTGAAGATATTCGCCTATGTTTTATCCTAGAAGCTTTATTGTTTTAGTTTTTACGTTTGCATATTTGATCTATCTCCAACTAATTTCTATATATGGTATAAAGTCGGGGGAGGGTCAAGATATATATTTTTCCATATGGCTATCCAGTTATACCAGCACCATTTATTTATTTAGAAGGCCTTCCATTGAATTACTTTATGCCTTGTCAAACATCAAATGACCTTTTTAAGTTTGGGTCTATTTCTGGGCTCTCTATTCTGTTATATTTATCTCTACTGTATTTTTATGCAAATAATGTGCTGCTTCTGCGTTTGTTTGCCAGCCACGCCCTCCCCCTACGAGGCAGCCTCACAAGCACTACTATGCCAATCCTCTTCCACATGTTGCTGTAAAAAAAAATTAGCGTAGCACGTTTATGAAAATACCTCGTTGGGTGAGGCACAGTCAGCAAACAAACACAAAGAGCACGAGTTATTTGCATAAAAATATGGTATGTCTGTCCTTATACCAATACTCACTATCTTGATTACTATAGCTTTATAGTAAATCTTGAAGCCAGGTACTGTTCTCAGCCAACTCAGTTCTTTTTCAAGATTGCTTTGGATATTCTAAGTTCTTTGCATTTCTATATAAATTTTAGAATCAGCTTGTACCTTCTATTCACAAAGGAGGTGGTGAAACAGAGACTTGTATGCCAATGTTCACTGCAGCACTATTCACAATAGCCAAAAGGTGGACACAGCATAAATGCCCATCAGTGGATGAATGGATAAACAAAATGTAGTGCATACATGCAATGGAATACTGCTTAGCCAATGGGAGAAATGAAGTCTTGATACATGCTATAATATGGATGGAGCTGGAAGACATTATGCCGAGTGAAATAAGTCAGTTACAAAAGGACAAATATTGTATAACCTCACTTATATGAAAAGGCAAATGTATAGACAACAAAGACATGAAGTCTCCATGTCTCTCTGCTCCCTTCTCTCTTTTATATCTCAAAAGAGCTTGGCTTAAGATAATCTAATCGTGTAGATTGAGTCCTGCCTCATTAACATAACTACCGCTAATCCCATTTTATTAACATCATAGGAATAGGATTTACAACACACAGGAAAATCACATCAGATGACAAAATGGTGGACGGTCACACAATACTGGGAATCATGGCCTAGCTAAGTTGACACACATTTTTGGGGGGGACCTCATACCACTAAGAAAGTAGTGCCAGAAGAGCGTGTTCTTTGGACCCAGGGTCCCTGTGCTGAGACGCTCCTAGTCCAGGAGAAGATTGATGACAAGGACCTTCCTCCAGAGCTGACAGAGAGAGAAGGCTTTCCCTGGGAACTGACACCCTGAATTTGGACTTCTAGCCTACTAGACTGTGAGAGAATAAATTTCTCTGTGTTAAAGCCATTCACTTGTGGTACTTCTGTTGTAGCAGCACTAGATAACTAAGACAATGGTGATGGAAATACCTCATTGATTAAGGGTAGGGCTGCACAGCTGATTATTATAATTGCTTTCAATAAGTTATACACCTGTAAAAAATTGAATTGGCAAAAGGCGTGTGATATATTTACAAAAAAAAAAAAAAGAGTAACTGCTGAGGCTGCTTATGTACAACCAAACACTTCATGGGATTTGGTGCCTTGGTTTGGAGGTTTAGGACATAGATTCATGGGACATCCCAGTTAATTGGCCTAATAACGTATTTAGTGCTTCTGTTCTACCTCCTAGTTTGATGCATAGTGCCTGGGGTCTTAAAAACTTGCAAGTGGCCATCCAAGGCACAACAGTTGGTCTCTATTCACCTGAAGCAACAGAGGAAGAGGGAGAGTCAGGAATAGGAGGATATGGAATGTGTGGCTAATTACCTCCATGAACAACTGCCTGCTTTGCCATGAGACCAGAAGAAGTGGATGGTGCCCGGGTGCTATTACTGAACATTTTGATCAAAGAGTCCATAGAAGAATCCTAATCAAAAGGGGGAAAATATAAAACAGAATTTCAAATTTTCATGGTGTCTTAGTCATCCAGTGCTGCTTCAACAGAAATACCACAAATGGATGGCTTCAACAAAGAGAAGTTTATTCTCTCACAGTCCAGTAGGCTACAAGTCCAAATTCAGGGTGTTAGCTCCAGGGGAAT